GCTGAGAAGGCAGTTGACACGATCAAACATTTGGGAAATCAACGCTGTATGCAATACGCTTCAGCCATTAGTGTCAAAGGTCAGTTGCTGTCTCCACCACCCTCTCCTCCCTCGTCTTTACATAACACACTCATTGTTAATTTACGGACTGACTGATTTGGAGTGCACAGTCTAACCAAATTTCAGTTGTTGCAATAGGTCACCTTGGCCTTATGATTTCTTCCATAATTTCGTTGTGGGGGGAATTGTTTTTGACCATTTGCCCCAATTTTTAAACCATTTTTGTCGACACTCCTTACTTGGCATATTTGAACCAGTTCGGTTGTGCATGCTTTCCACTGAGTGATCATCGATGCGAAGACATGTAACGCAGAAGAGCGTAGATATTGGTGTTTATGCATGTACCACGTTTATGTCGGTTTATTGGCAAAGTGGTCAAATGGCGAATCTATAAAGATCCAGCTCACGAATTGGTTGCGATCAATGGGCCCATTTCGCATCCTGGGCCGAATCAGGTCAAGGAAGAGACAGCAGAATTGGAGTTTCTAATCATATTCGCGAGGATACTACTTCTTTGTCTTATTGGAAGGGGATTGAAGGTTGAAATGGGATCAGATCTGTTTGGTTTAGCCATCCTGCATGTGTGGAGTCCCTATTAAAGGAGTCCTCTTTGAGTTGGAAGAATTTTTTAAGCAGGTCGTGCACTCAGCTCCATCAGGGTTTGTGTCCCTTTAAATAGAGCAGCCTTATCCGTAGTAAAAATGACTCCCGACTACGACTGATTGGAACCTGGAATTCCCCCATCCTCTCAATAGCTTGTCCTTACTTGTGTGGTAGATAATGCCGCGTGTTGAGTGTGCACCGATTGGCATTGAATCTGTGACCTCTTCACAAACGACTGGAGCACACTGTGTGCGTTTGGAATTAAAGAAGGCTTTATAACGTTGCTTTTGCGAGTTTTTTATCATTCCATTTCCTGAGGAAATCTTTTCTTCCTTTGACTAGCTCTGATTTTGCAGGCGATAGCATCATTCGAACCGGATCCACAGACGAGGGACTCCATATTCTTGATCTCAAAAGATTTGCACTTACTCTCTCTCGATATCTGTGAAATGGTATATTCATGACGTGGTTTCTTGTTACTCTCAAAATTGTTTTTCTAGACATTCGGTGTGTGGAATATTAAAACCGCCATGCATATCGGCAACCTTGGACGAATCTTGCAGGCTCTGAAGCGCAATACCGTGAGTTGAACTTGACCAAATCATTTTGTGTGTGTGCATTATTTTAACTTGTACCATAAGTATGTCTTATGAATTCAAGTAATTGAAAAGCCAAGAAAGAAGTCTATCAGTGATTAAATTGCATGCACATGGCACCTTGACTTTGTGTGTGGTGTTATAGTATGCGTGGGGTGGATTTCCTATTAGCGTTTGAGTCTTCGAGATCACATCGTCTTTCACACCAAAAACTTGCGTGAAAGCTATGAAGACTAACGATGAGGATTCTTAGAGGTTTTTTTACACCAGCACCACCTCATGTTCTGTAGAGGCATCTGAATGTCAGTGGAGTTGCACTCTAATTAAGCGAGATTTGGAGTCTCAATTGGAGGCAAAATTTCTTCACTTTTGTAATAATTTCACCTTTCCTTTTCCATTCTTTTCCAACAGCTGGCGGAAAAAATGCATCTGAAGGCGATTTCGATCAAAGAGCGCTTTCTGGGGCCGAATGATTATGAGGTGGGTATCAGCATTGCGCTTTTGGCCAATCTCTACAATTACCACATGCGCGAGTATAATAAGGCTGAGGCGCTCTACCTACGATCTGTTCAAATAAGTAAGTCCATAACCCCCTCCCTCCATCACCCCCCCCCCTACCAATTCTTTCACCTCCTACGAGAACAAGTTCTTTCCTGAGGTTGTGATCGGCGCCTTTTTCTGTCTTTCACATCGAACCTGATTGGGAAAAAGTAGCTTTACTTGTCAATTATTGGTGTTCTGTGATCGATAGTATTTGCGTTGTCAAATTTCTTAAACGAGTTTGAGGTCTTTCTATATCAGTTGAAGAGGGCGTCTAATTTTAGAATTTGTTTGTGACAAAGATTGAATCGTTGGACTGAGTGTTTGGTTAAGCGCACTGACAGCCAGCATTGCACAGTGAGAAGGACAGAGTAGATCGATGCGTGAGTTGGGTGGAGGTTCAACGATGACGCCATTTCCAGTTCGATATGTGGGGGGAGGGGTGGGGTTAGTGAGCAACTTCTCAACTTTTGCAAAGTAGGCAATATCTGGCAAACAATTGTAAATAGACTTTCGTTGCATTTCAAAAATGTGAAATAGTCAAAATTTTTGCTAAAATGATGAATCATTCACCTGATCACCTTTGTGGGCAACTGCAGATGCCCTGTTTTGTCTGTTTGGATTTATCAATAGCGCCATCTTCTTTATTAAAACTTGTGCATGGACTTGGCTGTTTTGAGAAAATGCGTTCCAACAAATGAGTAGTGTGTTGACTTTGGTTTCCTGTTTAGCAATACTCATTTCGAGTGGTTCTTCAGTTTGCTTGTTTGTTTTGTAGGTTTGGATGCATTCGGACCAAGTCACAGTGAATTGAAGTATGACCTTCGAGGTCTTCAACGTGTCTATCGGAAAATGAAAAACATGGAGAAAATGAGGAAGATTACCCGAACATATGGCAAATGGAAGGAGTTCCGACGTCGCCATCAAGGGACCATATCTTCAAGCACTGTTGTTGAGGACGCAATGGAAGGTTACCTTGAGTCTTCTTCCTTTATTACGCATCTGGACACCATATGGAGGGAATTCCGTAGCATATTTGGGACGCTGTTGAGTGGTAATGGCGTCGAATATACGTCCCAAGAAATGGAAGGTGAAGGTAGCTGCCCCAGAGGATTGTAGATGCCACTTGGCTTTTTGGCTACAAGCCCTGTGCTTTCATTCAAAGGCTGTTTTTTCTATCGTCTTATTATTATTTAGAATGGAACCAGAATGATTGTTGTTTTGATTACTTAAAATGGTGGTGGTGGTGGTGGTGGGGGGGGGGGGGGGGGGGGGCNTCTAATGTAAGTTGAGATTTGTGGTCAGCGGTTTTTTATTACGAGGAAGGGGGTGGAGTGATGGTGGGGGAAAGAGTTCAGTCCCAGTGATCATTATTATTATTTCAAATGGCTGGCTTTATGATATTTATCATTAGCCCTTAAAATTTGACTTCAGCTTTGCCCATTATGGGGGGGGGTACATTTATAGCAGTTAATTAATAGCAGTTCATTAGCTGTCTTCTTGCTTCCTAGTATCTCTGGGTTTCTGTCGTTGCCTTTAGAGCTGGACACCGAATCAGGTGGGTCTTCTCCATTTCCTCCTGTTAGATACATAGAGGGCATGTGGGTTGAGTGTATACTCCCAATCTGTGAAGGTGTTATGCCAGTCAGTCGTGTCCGGTACGTAGTCTAAACTCAGCAACGCTTTCGATTCTTGGCCAGTCGGGTATGTCTGAGAGTGCCACTGTCCACTGTTTCTTCTTTGTTCGAGCTTTAAGTTCGTTGCACCTTGAGGTCTTGAATTCTCTTCTGATTAAGGCCTTCATTGTGTGGAAAGACATCGGGTGTTCATGCATTGCAAAATCGATGTGCCCTTCTTAGCAAGTGTGTCAGCAATCTCATTGCCTTTAATGCCACAGTGACCAGGAATCCATTGTAGGACCACTGCTTTGTTTTTCTCTCTCAGCAGCTGTTTTGGGTGGCTCTCTGTTTCCAATAGAGTTTATTGCTGACTGTGAGTCCGAAAGTATCACCGCTTTGGTGAATTTCGTATCCAGGCAACATAATTGGCATAGTGCTCTCCTAATGGCCTCTATTTCTCCTTCGAATGCGAATCTATTGTGTCCCGCTGCTGCGTAGAAAGAGACGAGTTCAGAATAGACGCCTGCAGAAATGTTTGCTTGGTTTTCTATGTATGACTCATCAGTGAAGACTTGGAGCCATTAATCTGCAGGATGGTTGACATTGATTGTCTCAAGGGCCAGTGAGTGCATCTGTTCTGGAGGGGTGATTGATTTCCTGAACACACTACATCAGTGTCTGCTAATGGATTTAGGGGTAGATGGAGACTTTTTGATTTGTCATTGGTTTTGTAATTTTTTCTTCAGTTCTATGGCTTACTGTTATGGACCAGATTGCTTTTTCAGTTATCTTGGTCTATTCTCATATGTGCTGAAGAATTTATCCATGGGAATGCACAGTAGCTTCTCATACAGGATCAAGGCCTTTCCTTTGATAAGGAAACATATTGTGGTGCTTCCTGTAACCAGGAGCATTGCATCAATGGGTGTTGATTTTATCCCTCCAGTAATTAGTCGTAATGCTTGGTTGTGTGCCTTTTCGAGTGGTTTGAGAGTTACCTCCGTGGGTGTAATGAGTGGCTCACAGCAATACAACATTATTGGCTGAATAAACATCTTGTAAGTGGTGTTGAGAGTAGAGCGTGCACAGCCCCATACGCTACCGGCAAGACGCTTCAGGACATTCAGTCTATTGGAGTCTCGTTCTGCTATTTTAGCAATGTGACTTTTCCACGTTAGCTTTGTGTCAAAAGTCATTCCGAGATTTTTGAACTCATTGGTTTTTTCTAAGGTAGTATCCTTGTAACTTAGAAGCGGGTTTATGCTGTGACGGGCCAAAGAAAATGTTTGGAAAGCAGTTTACGTGGTGTTGAAAACCCTTCCATGCCTCTTAGGACACTATCTGTCCTCTCCTGAGCGTTCTTTTTAGGGTCAAAATACCATAGAACAAGATCATCTGCATAAAGTAAGCACTTGATGCCCGTGACTGTTTGTACCAATTCGGCTATGTCATTGATGAAGACATTGAAAGGAGTGCAGCTGGTGACAGCTCCCTGTGGAAGGCCTATTTGTAAAAGATTGGATTTTGATGGAGCATTTCCATGTCTGACTACATGATCTTTGTCAATGAATGCTTTTATCCAATTTAGAATGTAATGATTAATACCAATCTTTGCCAATTTTAGAATTAGCTTCTCTTTCCATACTAAGTCATATGCTGATTTGAAATCGACGAAAACAGCCGCAAGAGTATTTTTTGCATCAAATGCATGTTTGATGTGTTGGGAGAAAGTGGCTACTTGTTGGTTCGTTGATCTTTGTGGCCTTAAACCTGCATGTTCATTCCTAGGAATATTGTTGGTCTCAAGGAACCAGGTGAGCCTCCTGTTAACCATTCTTTCCATAGGTTTAGCCAGCATGTGCCTCCTGTTAACCATTCTTTCCATAGGTTTAGCCAGCACGGTTATGAATGGTTCACGTGGTACGCCCTGGGAAACGTATACTCATACGGCATAGAAGTCTATTAACCGGCCATTGACTTCTGATTTCAAACAACCATGACCCCACTGTATGTCATGTTCCACCGTTTCACAGTATCCACTTTACTTTATGCCCTACATTTCTGTCAGTCTGTCTCTTACATCTGTGAATTACTCTTCTGTTCCCCCCTCACGAATTTTTCTCATTTTGGTGTTTCTCCTCTCTGTGAGCCCGAAGTCAGCCAAAGAGCTGATGATATTTATCGAAGCGCCAGCCATTTGAAATAAATAAAGTTGTGAACGTTTGAACAATCTCTTCCATTTCTACAGTTTAAAAATTAGATTAGCTTTGATGTTACCTTTTTACAGGGTTTCTTACTTGTCTCATCAGAGCTATTCACAATTTTATTTGTTATATCACAATCTTCTCTCCTCTTGATAACCCTTCGTCTATGCAAAATGGTATTTGGATTTTGAAATTAAATCGTTTCCCAGTAGTTAATGTGACTTTCGATCATTTAAGGCGTGCGTCTCGCATTGCTTCAAGTGTGATGGTGGTTGTAATTAGACAGTAGTGTGAGTCGCCATCAACCTTGACTTTGGCTTTTGCTGTCTAGGTTTCGCGAAAGTAGAAATTTGCCATAACACTATGATCAGGTCTATTAAGAATAATGCTGGAATATGATGGTCTGTTAAGAATCCCTAGATATCTACACAATCTCTCTGGGTGCCAAATGTAAGGCTGTTGCAGTTGAAACCGCCAATGGCGACGAAGTCCAGCGTTTCATTCTTTCTGTCTTTGCACATTGGCAGATCAAGTTTCCTGGAAGAAGATTGTGTTTTGATGCGTAATTGAATAATTTCTGTGCTCTCTTAGGACTCATCCTATTAGCACAGAACTATCGAGGAAGTAATTATCTACTCTCTCGTATTTGACTGTTTAAATTGTCGCTGAAGCAACCATCTCTATCATCAGTACTAAATCAGTCAGCCAATCATCTTTCCCATATTTATTATAGAACTCTAGTTGAGAGCGTTTAAGCTCCCACTGTCTTGAGAGCAGTAGATCTTTTCCCAACATGGTTGGAATTGCTATTCTTTTCAGAGGGAAACTTAACATTATGAAAAATCGAACACCATAACGACCATATCCTCGAGGTGTTTATTGATTAAACGCAGACAGGCTGAGCTTGCACGCCCCCTCTCCGATTGCCTTATTATCTTGTTGACCATTGTGAGTGTGTAGTTGGCATGGATTGGCTAGCACGAGAACCACAAAAATAGGCCTTTGGCCACACCGTAGCAAACATTTTAGAAATCTAGCTATCGACAGATAGAAACAACTAGCTTCAAGCAGTTTTCCGGAATCACTTGCCCTCGAAATTAGCCAGTCTTTGTCTAACTCAGTTAAAACAGGAGGTACCGTGTGGAGGGGGGCTATTATTTCCAGGTTGCTCAAACGCGTGAGTTCCCTTTGGTTAATTTTATAGGTTCATCATATTAGCCATTGTCGTTCCTGCAGTCTACCATTAATCGAGTGCTTTTTTAAGTTGGCATATTTGACATTAGCATATTTACTATTGTCTGACAAGAGTTCAACTTGATGACGATCCGTCGCAATGGAACAAGTTGGACCCGTTGCCATTAAGGAAATTGCCAATGAAGTAGGAATGCGTGGACAGGGAGTGTCCCAAAATCGCTATAGGAACAGCTACTAATTCGAGGAGGTGGACTTTCTTTAACAACTTTGGCAAAGAGGGAATCGAATGAGAATAATTGCTAAGGGCTGTGCTACCGGAGATGAAGCCAGGTTCACCAATTTCATCCCTATAGTCCAGACCCTTCCTCGTCAGACTTGTTGCTTTCAAAATGGCAAGAATGCCTAAGGAAGACTCGATTTTCGTCTTTTGGTGATGCGGAAAAGGAATGTAATTTCATGGTGCCGGAGTCAGTGTACACAATTTGACTATATGGCAATTTAGGGATGGAATCATAAAGTTGTGTAGATCACATTGGATCCTATGTAGAAAATGATTGTAACCACTTGTTAAATAAATAAATTGTGGTATTTGTCTGAGATCTTTCTCACTCACCCTCTGATAAATTAGATGTAGACTGTGGGACACGTCATGGCTTAACGCGTGATCAAATGTGCGCTCAAGCAATGGCCAATCAGAGGCTTTCGTTTGTTTAATCATATCTGCCGAGTTGATTATTACTGCCCTTATGGCATGTGCACTTTATCCACAATATACTTCCTGAATAAACTGGCTGTTTTCTCTATAGCTAGGCTGCATCCTTGCTAGTTCTGGAAGTCTTGCCAGATATAGGAGATTCTGGAATGGAGATTTCTGAGTCAGTCAAGGCTTTACAAGATGCTTTTTTCAAACGAGGTTCATTTCAATGGTCTATCTAAATTAAGTGTCCTGGCATTAAATTCTCTTCTGAACCAAGTTCATTTGGATTAATGCCCTTCTCTAAAAAGGACTATTACAAGTAGGTTCAATCCTCTGAAGTCAATATTTAAAGGGCACAGTATGTGCTCTCTTACTTCGCCAATTTATAACTACTTTATGTGCAACAAATTGTGGAATTTAGTAAGACATGTTAAAAAAACATTGTGTAAACTTTTAGGCAGACTGCAACATTTCATTGTGGTGAGGATGAGCAGTTAATTGGCATGTATGGAATACTGTAAGGTCGAGCATTTTGACTAAGCACTCGACCAAATTCGTAGGAGGGAAAAAGGCATCCAAAATTGGTATGGGTTGTATTGGACGCAAGCACTTTCCAACTTGACTCGCCGACAAGCTGGAGGACTAAATCAGGTGATATCATCGTCTGCTTTGAATCTAGTTTAGCTAAGGATTGCGATTTTGCCATCAAGATGGAAATTTCTTCCCCTTTCTCTTTTCTTGACCTCCAATTCCATCTCTAATGGGCATTGTTGACTCCATTATATTACTAGTCTTTGTCATTTGAGGTTTTCCTGTAAAGATTTATCAATCCTCTTCCACTACAGCAGCATTACATCAATCAATTATACAAATCGACGCCGTTAAAATGGTAAGCATTTTTTCTCTTAATATTGAAAGTAGAAAATGCAGTTAATTCGAAATATTTATTAATAAAATAGCACTCAATGGAGTCTATTCANCATCGTCCTCAAATGTTTCAGTGCTGTAATCTTGCCCAAAACTGCTAATTTCTTCCTCTTCTTTGTTACTGGCATCGCTATCAGTAGTATCTTCGAAGTCATCTTCATAGTCCTCTTCCTGTTTTGACCTTCCATCGCATTTTCCAAATTTGATAGAATCGAGAAGCTTATCCATCTCTTCAATCATGCAATCCGATTCTTGTGAGCTGCCACTTGTGGATGAAGATCGACTAGGAGGTGACTTCCTTTTCGGGAAAGAGAATGGTGGATTCAATGCTTCAATATGCTTCTCTGTTTCCGAATCAGTATCCGATTCGCTACTTAAGGAAATTGAGTAACAATGGCATATTGCATACTCACTCGGAAAGTGATTGATGCTCGGATAACGGATGTGCTATACTACCAATTTCTTTTTCAGCATATTTTCTACCAGTTGATAGGGAATTCAATTCTCTACTTTGTTCTTCATCTATTCTTTTCATGCCATTTATCTAGAGAGAATCAAATAAATATGGATGAAGTTACAATTCCTGAGACCATCATAATTATGTAACTTTTACAATTATCTTATAGCATTGGCTCTTCTAGCGACTAATGGTATCTTCTCACTTAACGTACTTATTAGTTAATATTAGAGAAGTTGATTTTGAAAATAGGAAATAACTTACAGTTGGATGTTGACAATTGGATGATGATGATAGCTCTTCTGTCAATTTTGAAGGAAAATTGAGCTGTTTGGCAATTTGCTGAATTGACTTTATTCGATCTTTCTTAAGTATTCAAAATAATTGTAGTCATTGAGTGTAAAGCAAAAATACTACTCATTTATTGTACGGAATTAAATTTTATTATTCGCCTCCTGTTTTGCTGACCAGATTTGTACCCATTATATTGAGAGTCGATTTCCTATTCAGAGGCCAAGAGGGCAATTTGATCATGTGTGTTGTTCACGTCGTAGAATTCCTCAATTAGAACTTACCTTCTTACACTGATCCCTAAGGGATGATGGTATTAAAATGCAATATTGCAGACTTATCCAACTAGTAAACACGATTATGAATGGGCTAGGCGACTTGATTACTGCCTGCGCTCCAGTGACTCTATGACCAAATTAACTTACTATGTTTGGCGAATGTTGGAGCAAGCCATGGAAGTCGATCTATGTGCCCATACCGGAAATTCGATGGTGGATAAATGCAGACTAGAGCAACTGGGAGACATTATTTCAAAGATTTGAGAGAGCAGAAAATGTGAACTCACTGATATTGGAAAAATGGGTACTATACTTTGACTTTGCTAACCAATACCGATTTCTCAATCATCAAATCCGTTTATCGTACCTTAATTTTTCAGAGAACCATTGATCAGCCCAATTAAATCCAAGTGGCAACTGTGAAACTGATGTTCTCGCGAATAGCCAAATGTATTTACTGCTCAAGCATTCCCTACATCACTCAAACAATCCTACTTCCACCAGTTTGGAAACCGCGACGAATCTTATCGACGTACCAGAGTACAACGCGTATGCCTTATTCCTGAGGGACTGAGCTATTGATTGTTGAATTTCTACTTTCGCCACAGGGTAAATTAGCCCACAAACGAAGTCTTCCCCTATGCTCGCGAGGTCATAGTCATACTTTTTGTTTTCTTAAATTAGTAGCTGAGTACTATTAGACCCAAGAGATACAATTTTATTCCTTATTTATTGCATGAATTACAACGGAAGCAAAAAAGACCAGTTAAAATTATAATCATTAAAAGCATGAATTACTCTGCTTATTGTGATATCCGAGCGATCCAAATGATAGTGAAAGACTTCCATCAATTGGCTAAAATTGGATAAGAAGACACAAAATATCACATTTATTCTTATCTAACTCAATCGGAATGCTTATTACATGACATTCCTACCTGTTACTAAATTGTTTTTCTCGAATAATTTCATTTGTTACTTCGGATGAAAATCGAAGCATATTCAAATCATCTCCACTAGAGAAAAATCAGAGGGGAGATAGCAAATACATTCGAGTTTGAGATATCTTGAAGTTTAATTAGTACAAAAGGCCTACGATGTGGTGGGAAAATGTCCGACACTGTGCCTAACCGAATTCACCTAAATTTAAAATGAGAAATGATGAAATTGCCAGTATGCAAAGCGTATGCCCTGAAGAGGCAGTATTGAAGAGGAAAGAGATGCGCGTTCTTAGAATGATTGAATTCGGTTTTACCATCTTACCGCCTACTTGTAACCAGAAGATGGATTATCAACCAAAATCGTTGGATTTACTCTGCTATCACCGCGTACTCCTTAAATAAATATTCTACATCCGAATCTATCATCCTCCATTGCGATGTTAGTAAAGCCGGTAATGCCGGGGAGCTTGCAATAAATCAATGAAAACTTGAATTTTCGCAATCATTTCCTGCGTTAGGTAGTGATTCACCTTACCATTAATTGCATTATTGCTTCAAATCTCTCATTTTTAATATCCAAATCGGTTAAGTTAATCAGAAAAATTAAAATAGAAGCCTATTAACGTAACCATCTTTGATAAGAGGCATATAATACTTTTCAAATACAATACATTGACAAGTAAAGTCGCGCGTTCAGATTATCATTAGGTAAATTAACTCTTGAACCATCCTTGTCTGATAGGTTATTGGTTACAGCGTGGACAACAAGTGAATAGGGTATTGCAAAAGAAAGGGGATGAGCAAGTAGCAAATGTAGCCATGGCAACAGTCTTCAACATCCGCCTTTTTATCAATTAAAGCCATTGACCAAAGCGGAAAGTATGTTTTATGAGATAAATAATTTTTTTACCTTTTTAGATAATTTCTTCCCAGACCGTGGGGACTTCATCTGCGCTGAACCATCGAATAATTTTCTTCCATTAGAATCGAAGGCACCACTTACTCCCTCTTTCCCTAAAAATGGAAGTATCCAGACCATATGTGCAAAATTTGTCCTTGATAGGTACTATCCACAACCGTATGCAATAGGAAATTTATGAAGCAAAAAATATGACGTTGATGAACTTAAGAACCTTTTCGTGTTGATTATTGTGTAGGCAGACTGGACTTTTAAATAGGTACAAATATTTCATAAATTCTTAAGTATCTTTTTCCCCTTCCTCTTTTCAAAACCCCGCCATTTCGTTTATTCCACTTATGCATTATTTCTTCTTTACGACCATTTATATCCAATAATGATTCAACGAACTACCTTAAAATCCCTGTTTCCATCTATAAGATGTCCCATTGAGACTTGGCCAAATTTGTAGGAGATTCACACGATCTGTGGAATCGCCTGTTCTTAACTTCTCCATAAGCAATAGATCAACTGAGCCCGGGCTTGATTCTGGCGACCATATTTATTGGGCTTCTAAATTGTCCCATGTACCCGGCGGTTAAAGGAAAAATTCCATTTCGTGAAATTATTTTTGAAACAGTCTTCACATTATCTAATTTTTCAGCCCACGTAATGTCAAAATGTCAAATTTATAAGCAGACGAAATAAAACAGGTCGTTGCTCAGCTGAATAAAGCGGGGAGCTTCCCCAATTCAGCTCGTATTTCTTACAACTCCTTTAGTCTACTACAACTAGTTCCCGAGCATCACTTTTTTGATTCGGCCGAAATAAAGTGATAGGGATTAACTGATAATTTTGAGATAAATATCAAAAATCAAAAAATTTATTGCCTTTGTGATATTCTTCTATGTCTTATGGAGAGTGGTGCATTTATAACCAGGTAGCTTCGCAATTTTGTACATATCAGTTTTTCCACAAGTAACCCTCAAGACTCTCCCCTCTCGCTTCGCCCCAAATTCCTTTCAAATAGGACCTAAACCGTTTAAATATTCGTCATTTAAGTCGTTTATCACTATTTGTAATATAACTCTATTCATTAGCCGATATAATTATGGAGCTCAAAATTCGACTACCAAATGAACTGTCAAGGGTTTACGACAGCCAATCTGAAATCAACAAAATCCTAAAAGGAGCAAGGAAAAAATAAGGTGTGCTCATTTATAACAGAAGAGAATTGCAATAAATAATGCTAAAGTATAGCTCAAAAGGAGTATTGCACATTAGAAAAAGAAAGATAGCTGTTGCCTAGTTTGATGTTAATGGATTTTAGTTCTCCTAATTTAATAACGATGGGTATTCGCAAAGCGAAATCAGTGGTAACGAAGGGTCCAAAAAAACCTTCATGACCTACCGAGTTTGCATAGCCCTTGAGCTGACACCGACGTAGATGGTCTGTCTATTAAAATTCTTAACCCACTGTTTCATTCTTAATTCAACTGTAAGGAAGCATTCAACTTCACTCTCAATTTCTATCTTAGATAAGTTAAAAATTATTTAGGCTATTTCGCGGTTAAACGTTAGCAGTTTAATGCAGTGAACTACCCATTGGGAATAAGGAGAAACACATTTAACATTTGTCATCAAATTGGCAGTCATTCATTCCAAACTTATCTAAATAATGGTAATACAAATGCAATAAAAATATCACCTATTTAAAGCAATCATTTAAGCATAATGAATTTAAAGAAAGCGTTAGCAAAAATAAAACCAATTTTTTAAAAAGGGAGAACAATTCTTTATATTGCTTGAATGGTATAATAGAACGAAACAAACCTAATTCGGATTCGTTGTGAAAATTTGGCTTATGTTGATTGTAGCAGGCAAGTTCGCGAATTCGTGAAGAAGCCGATGATTTTAGAGTTCGAGGATAGAAATCTTTCTTTTCAGAGAAGAGATTCGAATGTAGGTTTAAAATGTCAGCAGAAGGGTATTGAATGGGCTGCAAAGGAAAATCGTTTCCCAAAAGAAAACGTACATAGGACTTCGAAGTTGATTTAGATGTTGGAGAACAAGTCGGGGGATTTTGTATAGTGGTTTTTTTCCGACGAATTCCTTTATTTTTATCACAACCATTATATTTGTTTATCAAAATTTGAATAATGTCATTTACAATTGGATCTTCACCACATATAAGACCCTGTAACTAGAATAAAAGGCAAATATAATACCTTAGAGTCAGATTTGGAGCAGTCCTTCGATTTCTGTAATGATAGTCTTCTTGGATCTTTAATACCGCTTTGTTTTGTATAAATTTTTGCTTAAAATAAGAATATTAAAACTTAAATACCTTTAGGATTAGTAAACAAAGAACGCGGAGCCCTGTTATCAATACATGCTATTGAAAATTAATTCTCAAAACAGTTTAGTACCTTTTGCAGAGTTGATTTTCCTTTTATAAGCCTCTAATTGTTGATGTACCAAAATCTTTTTCGAAACGGATGTATTTGAGTTCATATTTCATAAAAATTACTATGCAAAGTTATAATAAATAAAGTAACCTTTATTTTAAAATTGTGCAATTTATTTTCCAACATCAACAAAGCATTCAAACAAGTATTTCTTTAATTAATAAAACAGATATTAGTAATAAATATTTGATTAAATTAAATTATTGAATTAGAATTTCAGTTTACTTTGTTGTTCCTTCTATCAAGCATTTTAATCAATGACCTGGTTCCAACATTAAATCACAAGAAATATTTATTTAATTTATTTTTCCTTCTAAATAAAAGTAGGTTGACTTTTACTACTTCATTTTGTTGGCAAACTTTGCAAACTCTAAAGTTTCTGTTATCATTTCTAAAAGCCGGTCAAAATTGTTCAGTTAGCATTGACCTTCTTTTACGATTTATCCAATGTTCATATAATTCTGTTTGTATGCCAATATGTATCTTTTCTTGACTAACCGGCGCAAGATTTATATATATATATATTTTATCTTTTTTATTACCATTTTCTTATCATGTTCTCTATGCTCCTACTATCATCTGTGCTCATTTTTATTCTTCTTAGTTGCAATCGCTTTAAGATATGTATGCCGCTCGATCGAATCGATTCCGAAAGACCAGATTGGAACTTGAAATTGAAAAGCATCGCGCCGAAGGGAATTTTAACAAAGCCCTTGAATTAGCCTGTGCTTTCAAAAGTGAACGTAGCGGTCTGAATGCTTGTCTTTACAATCTAGTTTATTGTGAAAGCCGTCTTGTGTTATCTGAAAAGGAATGCACCTATGCTATTGATTTTAAGGATATTGAAGCTGCCTTGGAGACTGCACTTCGAAACGCGGATGATCAATATCGATACGAAGCATCAATTTTAAAAGCCAAAATCCTCTTTATTCAGGAACAATATGGAAAAGTAGTCGACATTCTAACTACTGGGGGGATAGATTTGAAGAAGGTCCGAATTGAATCTTACTCGTCTCGTTTCGCCTGTCTTCTCTCAGAAGGCTTCGCTATGCTTGGTTCGTTTTCTTTTGCTAAGTTAATCGTTTTTTTATCGCCTGTTCTTTTTTATTGTGTTTCCGATTTTGCATGTTATCTTTCCCTGTGTTATTTATTGTTTACTTTAGATTTAGGCCTATTTTCCATTCACTTCTTTTAACAAATTATTTCTTTACTTTACCTTCAAAATGTTATATATTGCTTTCCATTGTATCGATTTTATTCTTTTCACTCTTTTTGCCATTACTTATTCTTTCCAAAAGTTCATAATAAGACCTCTTCTAATATGCGTCTGTTTTTGGGACTCTGATTAACGCCTGACTTGATCATATAGTACTTTTCTATATTCAAATCAAGTGCGGTTAGGTCTTTCCTTAATAAACTTGAAGAACATTTTCTTTGCCTGCTATCAACTATCCAATTCACTTCATGAAAGTGGGTGTTGCATGTTTTGGATGATTTACGATCTATGTTAAGGTGCCAGTTTAGTATCTGACATGTCCTTCCCATGTTGATCATGATGATTAGCAGTATTTTGTACCTTTGATTTGATTTAAGAATTTACGCTTGAAATTTCTGTGGGTTAATCTTGGTTGTTCTGCATTCATGTGATTCTTTTCGTTATGACGTTTTTTATATTGTGTTCTGTGTAAAACATAGGTTTTAAAGAATTCATACTAGATTCATAATTTAACTTGATTCACCATGGTTAATTAAGGGAATTGGTTATATAGAAGGTATTCTGTGTAACCCACTTTTGGACATTTCTCTCTTAATTGTTTTACTTACTGTGGACTATCCACATCGTTATTATATGATGTATGTATGCATTATCTAGTGCCGCCCACTGAAGGAATATGCTCTTACAAAAGTTTAAGACATGATGCTCAAAATTTCCCAACTAATGGTAAAGTAATTATTACATTCCTCTCAGGAATTGCCAAGGAGCGACAGCTTTCGGCTCGGTCACAGCAGAGCGAGACAGTGGATTCTGATGTGAATACTGAAATTTTTGATTGTTATGAAGCCGCGGGAAGCATTTGTATTCGTTACCTCCAGGAAGTTGAGGCTAGTCTTCCTGAGAATCTTCAACCAATTGGTCTACCCAAATCTGTCGACACCGCAATTAAGCGTCAGGTCGTTTCGTCACTGCAGCAAAAGTGAGTAATCCAAATGATCAATCTTAATTTTAACCAAAGGGTGGGGGGTGGGGAGGGAGAGACAAATTTTGCTCCGATATTTTTTCGTTTGTTCTACCCAGTCCTCTTGTATTTAAGATTTCCTCTTCTGTTTCCGTCAAGATTGAATATGCTTTACTATGAAGATGCAAGAAAAAGGACCGGGAAAGTGGCGTTATAAGTCGTCGAATTTCTCTGAGTTTATGCAGGTTCCTTTACTCATATGCAGTCTTCTTGAAGGCTATTAAATCCACATTTGATTTGAAACCAGGTCTTTAAGCTTTTGTAGCTTTGATGAGATCTGAACAATGAATTAATGCCAATTAACAGAAAATTTCTAGGAGATGAAATATGAAATATTAAATTGCTGTTTATTTACTGATTGTGGAGACATGGATGTGAATATCGTGTTTTTTTGCTGTTACAAATTGCCAATTCATTTAAATCGCTTATTCGTTCAGTTGAAGATTTTTTCAGATTGGATTCTGAATCCGGAACACAGCTGTTAGGAAACTTATTTATTTATATCAAATGACAGAGGGGAAGGAACATCAAATTTTAAAAAGTCGAGAGGGGGGGGACAGAAGAGCGTTTCAAAGATGTAAAAGAGACAAACACAAAGGTAGAAAAAAGTTGAGGTGAGTGCTGTGAAAATAGTCGAATATGGCATAGAGTGAGGTGATGGTAGTTTGAAGTGAGAAATCAACTGCCAGTTAATAGACTTTTTTGCCGTATGAATATACGTTGCCCAGGGTGTACCACGTGGAGGTAAGTCTATCGCACACCCCACTGTTAGGAAACTAGTGTACCGAAATCGTGCTTACATAATTATCAGTTGTTTAAATTTCTAAGCCCATGTTTGGATATGCATTACTACGAATATTGACTAATCAAATAATTAATAATATTTTTTCACGTGAAATGTTCATTCTATCAAAGCTACTTCATTTCCTTTATAAAAAGGAATTTTCACTTCCCTCACATGTCTGAACAATTGGTGTCAGTGTAGTCTCAATTGTCTATTAAGCCAATGTTGCAGAGGTGGTCTAACTAATATCAGGGTCTACTCAAACTCTTGGGTTATCTTTTTAAAAATAGCTTACTTACATTTTTCATAAGTAGAGAGAGAGAGGGAGGGAGAAGTGTTAAATGTTGTACATGTATGTCGTGAGCGTTACTTTCCTCTAGAGGTTGGTTGTGAATTTAATTGTATTGTTTTCCAATTTTCTCTAGCTATGTGTAATTTATAGTACTGGTAGAGGCCTTAACTGAAATTTGTAGCTTTGATGCTGATTAAGTCTTCATTTACGTGTGTTTAACTTTTCTCTTTTCGAACAAAATGCAAGAGAGTGATAAACATCGTCTTTATTTTGTAGTGATATGACTGAGGCTGTCCAGAAATTCCGTTCCCTGTTGCGTTATGTTGAGACACCTTCCACGAAGCGTCTGCGCCAATCTCTGGCACGTCAATTGGCTGAACTTCTGTTGCGTGTTGTTTGTACTGGGAAATATCAAAAGTACTTTATTTCAGCCGAACGCGACTTGGTAAAATCACTACTACTACCTTGCCCCTACTTAAGTTCTTTTAAGTAGTTGATGCTAATTCATGATTGTTTTGTAGGTTGGCAAACCAAGGCGCTATCCAGCTGATGGCTATGTACCAGATGATCAATTGCAGGAAGCCATTTTGATGCTACTTATCTCTGAGTTTATTGTAAGTTGTTTTTCAATCGACACCTGGTGTAAATTTTGTTATCTCTTGCTTAAACTTAACGACGCGATATATGTCGTTTGTTAGCTTCAAACTGGTTCAAACCGAAAGATGTTGCCAATATTAGTATGAAATTAGAACACTGTGTTTATCTGACAAGCCAGAAGACATGAAGCAGCTGCTGGCTAAAATTTTGTCAAGATAGGGGGAGCAGAATACAAGTTTATCTTCGTGGAAGCTCCAAACAACATTAGAGAATGATTCCCCTCATTAGGATCTTGAGTTTCCACTTTTTTCTACATAAATCGTAAGTATTTCGCCTAGTTTGAGAGAAAACTAACATATTCACGAAAATATGAGTTCTTATTTACGCTCTTTCTCAAACATAAGATTTGGCCGACTTTTGTATCTCTAATGGGATAGGAAGCTCTATTCACAGTTTCATTGCACAATCGGTCTTCTTAAGACATACGTTCGTAAAATTTTTGTTCACTTCAGTTTTATTCCTTTCATTTTTTTGCGTTTGTCAACTAATATAAGTTTAAAAATTATTTTGAACCAAGGCGAGTCAAGACGTTATTCTGAATCGATCTGCCGATTTAGCTGAGGATCGAATTAAGACAGTTAATGAAACTGTTGCCATCTATGACTTATTGGCCATCGCACTCGTTAGAAAAGGCTACTTCTCTTTCCTCTCAAAGGTAATAGCTTAAAATCAACATTCTTCATCCCGCATATTTCTCTACATAGTTTTCCTTTCCTTCTCTATTTTAGACTCTGGAACGCGCTTTAAAATTTTCTTATCAGGAGTTCCAAATCTGGTATCAATTTGCTCTGTCGCTTATTGCATCTCAGAAGGTAACAATAGGCTGATTTTCAAGATCTTATTTGACTTTTTGGAATTAACGTTTACTTAATTCACATTTCAGTACTATCGAGCATATCTAGTCTTGCGTGAATGTCAACGCATTAACCCCGATAATATCTCAATCTACCTTCTCGCTAGCTCTCTGTGTTTAGGCCGTCTGCATTTAATAGAAGAGGGTATTTTCTTCGCCACAAATGCCGTCAAGGTTGCCTCAAAAGATGAGGACACCTACTTGAGTGCTAGAGCCCACCTTATGTTGGGTTGGGGCTATTCCATCTCAGCTAGAGAATGCAGAATGCTTCCACGCAAAGCCGAGCTTCAAATTCAAGCGATTGAGGAATACACTGCGTAAGTTAACACAAAATTCCCATTTCGCCAACTCCTTTTTTCAAGATATCATCGGTAGCTACTAATAGTGATTGGAAGCTGGCTTGAGAGAGAGAGAGAGAGAGGTGGTCTGGTGACAAGAATCCACCACTGGAGGATTGGGAGATTTTGATAACTGATCGCTTTAAGTACTTCTGCGTACTTCTTCAAACTCCAGTTAAGGATAGTGACAAAGAACTTGGGGCGCGCTCTTCAAAAGCAAAATAGATGTAGATATAAAAGCCATCAGGTATCTAAGAGAACGCTTAGGAAGAGGGCATGTCATGATTAAGGCAAAGTGGACGGAAAGTTGTCAATGAAGACTTTGGTTTGAGCGTGCTATCGTAACTAAAACAGCTGGCAACTAACTGTATGATGATTACCATTACAAGATAAAGCAACATTTTTTGCACTACAAACGGGAACACTCCTTGCGTATAACGATCAACAATGGCTTTAAGTATCCAGTTAGGGTGTATATGAGAGGCCAGGGTGTGTTGGTTGAAGTGCTCTATATCCGACTTTCAGCTGCAGTATGGGGAGCTTCGAATGACTATTGCAGAAGCAGGTGGGGAAAAATGGCGTGTAGTATGCACGTTGCTAGAACTCCACTTGCCCTATTGGTGTGAAGTATGCCATCTTTTTACATAACCAGACTATATCTAGTTATTAGTGGAAAATGAAAACACGAGTTTCTAAATTAGATGGGTTCTGGTCTTGGAAATAGAAAGAGTCTCATCAATTGAATTCGCTTGGGGTGCTTAGTGGAATGCATTGCGAGGAAGATTCGAATATTGACCAATGGAAAGGAGGTTTTGTACCAAATTTGATTGGATAGCAGAATGAGTTTCGTTTCCTTGAGGTTTTCTTTTTTTTTCAGAGCAACGAAAGCTGATCCGCAGGATCACTTGGCGTGGTACCACCTGGCCACAGAATTGGCCATCAAACGCAATATTGAGGAGGCACTCAAAGCCTGTCACCAATCGATCCTTATTGCGCCCACTCAACCGGAGACTATCCGGTTGCTCGCTCTTCTCCACACTGCCTCTGTCTCCTTGAATTCATCTAATCAAGGTGCAAGGGAAGGTCGTCAAGCCCATCTTGCCCAGGCTCTACGAGCACTTCAAAGTGGTCTTGCAGATCGTCCGCATGATTTTGCTCTTCTTTTCACTCTTGCCAAGGTGCAAGCGGAGTTGCATGGTCCCGAGGCGGGACTCAAAGTCTACATGGACTTAATTGATACTTGGTGCGACTGTTTTCCTCAGTACCAAGGCCAAAGATTGGAAAACGGGTAGGTTCGTCTTCTTGTCCACCTTATTTTACTTACTGATTTAATCGAGTAGTGGTCTCTTTGGGCATTTAGGTATACTCCTTACTACCTTTCGGCAGAAAATGTAATTATTCTATCGATTTTTTCTAGCAGTGGCATCTAAAAGCCACATCAAATTTACAGTAGCTCTTTTCTTGAGAAATGGGGTGAAATGGCCACAACGACCTAATTCTGCACAAAATTAAAAAAATATATATTTTTCCTGACTAAAAAGTTCCGCACTCCTTTCTAGCACTTCGAATGGCTTTGAGCGTCTTCGTGGTAGCACAATCCTGCCTAGTGAGAGTTCCACAGTCGATTTTTGTATCTCAGAGACGGATTTCACGTTGATAGGAGATGGTTCAGCTGATTGTGAGCATATTGCTCTTCTGCCGACCAACCGACTGGAAGCCATCTTCACCGATCTCGTCTCCGCTGGAAGTTCATCGACAGCGACAAATGGAGGCTCTGCTGCCTCAATCAAACCTCAGACAACCTGCTTCTCTGGATCTGTAGGCGTTGCCTTCTCGCCGCTCTCCCTCCTCGCTAAGATTCTTGGCTGTATGGGTAGGTGATCCCTTGCCATGCTGATTTCCCACTGACAGTACTTATACCCGATCTTATTTGGTGTGCTTTTTGCTTTATTCATAGCTGTCTTATACGGCATGAAAGATTTGGTAGGGCGAGACTTGCTATACTGTTTCAACATTTTTGGAAATCTGGCCTAAAAGTTTTTTCAGAATAATTTTTTTTCAAAACATCCTGTAGATCAGTCAGTATGGCATGAAAGGGTGTGTTCGAGGAACTGTTATAGTATAAATGGCGGGAAGGCGGTCCAAGACGCAAGAGTTATTTGAGGCGACCATCTTGAACTCTCTTGAGCTGTACTCCACCTAAAGGTCCGTTGGTTTACTCTCTTCGGTGCTCTTCGGCAGACACATGGTCTCACATTAAGTAGTTGGCCTAGGCCACTTCCAATCAGATTTTTTTCGTGCCAATGTGCTCAATGACTTTCAACTCCAATAATTAAGGCAGGGTCAAAATTTAATTAAGAATTGAAATTAATAAATTGAAACACGCAAAAAGATGTTCTGCATTACCAAATTTTGAAGTTTTTTTCATTATAATCAAGCAAGTTGAGGGTTTAAAACCTTGCTCCTCATTACATCCTCAATGTCACTTGCTGACAAAGCCTTTTTCTTTCTTTTAGCGGAGTTGTACTTGGAGTCTGATAGAATTGAAGACGCTCATGATTGTGTTGCAGAAGCCATTTCTCTATCTCAAATCAACCATGAGCTACTTTATCTGGTGAGTAGGTCTCTTTGTGTGCTGTTACAATACTTTCTGCAATCTCGTCTACCAAGAAAGATTTTTTTGAAACCTCTCCGTTCTGAATGTTTGACTATATATGAATGAGTATCATATCCATTGTATGTCATAATGATTATGAATTAAAATCTATTTAAAGCTCTTCTATTGCGTAGTCTCTAGCATGCGTTAGCTTGCTTTCTTTTCTATTTATTACCCAGAGAGGCCAATAAATGGTGATGAAGAATGCCTAGGTGTTCTATTTTTTTCTACTGTGACTATCACTGACAAATGGACCTTTTGACAAAGTTTTCCAGAAAGTTATTATCCCCACAAAACTCGTTTTCTGATAGCCAAATGAATGAGGCAAACCAATTCCGCAGCTGCAATTCAGCCTGATCTGTTTTCAATTTCTATGCTCTCGGTGCAGCGTTTTCAATATACTTTTTAGTAGAGAGGCTGCATATACGTATGAATATAATTGCACCATATTTTGGTTATAATTTATTTCCAACTGTCAGGAACGACATGCCCCCCCC